TCGGTAGGCGTCGGACAATTCATTAAATAATACTTTTTAAAAATCAAACGGTTTAGCCGCAAACTTCCGTGCCGTATAGCGTGAATAACCCTGTACACCCCTATATATGAATACATATATAGCCCTATATATGAATACATGATACAATGTTTAGATATTTCATGTTAAATTTCAATTTCAGTCAAAATTTTATTTTTTTTGCCGGCTGCAAGTATGTTTCTTGAAAAAAGCTTCTGTTCTCGTTTGTGTACTGTAATTTTGTAATCTAACTAGTGGCCGATTGATTAATTTTCTTTTCCGCGCTCCATATACCAAATGAATCAATCCATACTCGATTTAGAATCGAGATTCCATTACCGTGTACTGAAGCTGAACAGGCCTGGGCAATTTGTCTTGATAGATGGGTATTTATTTATACGCATCAAGCATGTAAAAAGGCCAATTGCAGGCATTCAATAAATTAAATGCAGCAAAGAGAGTATTTTTAAAATAGTTCATACTAAGTGAACGACCTCTATGTTACATCTACCATCTTCTGGCAGCTAAAATACATTTTCTAATGTTTAATTAATGAACTTTAACATCTCTTTATTGAAGCGATTAATGGATGTTTTGCTAGCGCATTTTAGGGCGCAAGTTGCATAAACTTCTTGCAATATCATCAATTCCGTGTAAACCTTCGAGACGGCGTCTCTGAAGATGTTGGGCATTTGAACAAGCGGAACGTCAGGAAAAACAATTTCGCCCAATTGCGGAAATGTACACATAATTGATCGCTAGCCCTAGTGACGGAATATGCACCAATTATAGATAACATATGTACTTGCATACTTAATATAAGTAGATAAACCTTCTGTCAATATTAGATAAGCTAATGTAGCGGCCTAGAAGTAAAAACAAAATACTTCTGTAAACCAACTATTTTCAAATCACGGTGCTTAAGATTTTCAATAGTGCGGGAATTTTCGTACGAAAATCCAATACAAAGACGTCAAAAAAGAGCCAAAAAGCAGAAAAAGAAAGAGGCGAGACATTTGGAAGCGCAAACTACAACGACGGTAACAAATATTTATAAAGCACAATTAAAACCAGCAACCGCAAGTTTAAACTTTAAAAGCAAGTTTAAAGTTCTCAACTTACCCTCTAGGCGACTTTTAAGCGAAAATCATGTTGAAAGTGTACGCGCACAGTTAACTACTCATGTAATAACGATATGCAAATACTGCGGGGTCTAAAACAAATATTTCCCATAGGTTTTATCACTTCCGCACTTTCAGATACTTACTACCTACTCGATCGGACGCGCAAGAGCCACTTTTTCGTTAAACATGCAATGTCGGCCTGTACTTTCGGCCAAGTTACGCTTATATTTAGTCCAAAAATTAAGCTATTTTAAGAGGTTTTTTTTGAGGATGATTTTGTATTTTAACAAGAGTAACACTAAAACATAAATCTTCGGAAAGTTTTTATGAAGTAAATTGTGTTTCATGCGAGACGAGGACGCTTTTAAGTTTGAATTTTTGAAAGCTTTTTCGATAACTTTTTTCTGATTGGTTTGTGAAAATTTGGGACACCCAGCAACTTTTCCAGTCAGGAATTATTTGGAATTGAATAAAAAATAACACAAAAGCATGTTTTCTTGTTTCTACTTGAAAGCTTAACTTATAATTGGACGCATACATAATGCAACGTAAAATGTAATCAAACTATTTGCGTTGGTCCGACGACTTAATCCAAATCAGTAAACAAGAATTTGTATAATAAATAATTACAAATTGGGACCAATGCCATGGCCGCATCTTACAGGCAACCAAACATCATCCGAAAGAGTCCGACTTACCATCTTAGATGGTGCTGCAGTGAACACACATTCTCGATTAGTTCAACGGCGTTGCCGCACAGAGAAAAATTTCACGCTTTTTGCTTCTTTTGACTTCACGATTCAAACACTGATACAGAAAAACTAATGAAGCCACCAACTAGACTTGAAAGAAAAACAGTCGGCTACATCAATCAATCTATGCCAAAAGACCGATAATTATTCTACAAGCAAACGATTTTCCAAATTCAATCCTTATTAGGGGCTCTGCTTATCAGTGGCCCACATCGGCAACACAGCTTCCAGGGTCAGTGTCACAACTGACAGCTGGAGAAAAGCAAAATATGGCGAATAAAAATAATAGAAATTAGAGTGGAAAGGGCTAGTTGGGCAGGAAATATTACAATGCAACACAATCTAAATCGAATATTATTAATAGGCAAGCAACTACTTTCCACAAACTGCTTTATGTAAAAGTTGTCAACATCGCAGCTGTTAGAAGTGCTCAAACAATGGCAAAGTTTGCAGACTACTTCGTTATTTGTGGCTTGGATTATAATTCCGGATTAGAGCCAGATAAATATTCAGGTACACCGTTCAATTATCATGTATGGCCCATTTGCACAACTTCTGAAAGGCTTCAACATTCAGTCAAGCTTTTCCGATGTTGCGACAGAACACTACTCACTTCTTACAGCTGTTATGTTAAGCGCGAAGCTAATTGATCAATTTGCAGATAACTTACATGTTTCTCCTCTGGAGCGGGCCTACAAATGTAAGGTGTTGGCTCATTATCCAGAAAACAACAAAATCAACCCGTTTGATGAGTCTGCAGTCTCTATGGTAGGTCGACCTGAAACGCAAAAGAAATTTTTTTGATTTTGATCGAATTATTTTCAATTTCCAGCTTGCCCTGCCCAGTGGATTAAGATTCAGAACCCAAAAACACTCAGTCACCCAGTCGCCTAATTTCCACTCTTTTCTCATCACGCGGGAGGATGGAAAGAGGTGCTATGGGTTCAGTTTGATATTTTACGAAGAAGTTAAAAATCGGGATATCTGCACCGCTATGCAAACTTTGCAGGTAAACACCGGCCAGATGTGCTTAACTCGCCTAAGATTCAACACTTTCAGGCAATGTACATAACAGAACTTTCAAGCGGCGTGAAAACCCGACCAGTGCAACAAGTGCAGAATCAAGGACCTCAGTCCAGGTCTTTGCCTAGACATTTCAAGCTGAATTCCCAAAATCCAAATGGGACAGTTCTCACCTACTACGACATCATTAAGGATAAGTTGTTCGTGTCGAAGAGTATCGGAATCATATGCCAAGCAGCTTATGTGCAAGCCGCCAAGATATTTCTAGAAAATCTTTACAGGTAAATGACGTTATTTTTGTTTGCCTAATTCCACAGCTTCTTAAATTGGCTATTTTTGCAGATGTGCCCCAAGAAAATCCTCCTCTATCCATGGACTCAGCTTAGAAAGTTACGTTTTTAATCTGCTTCATGAAGTAAGTAATTTCGCATCCATATTAGGAAATTTTTCGAAAAATCTCTGTTATTTCACCCGCTTGATACTGATTAGTAAACTACAAGTTTCCATAGTTAGCTTAATTGCCAGTATGGAATCATAATGCAAAGATAAAGACTAAAAAACGATTAATCTTTGCAAGGTCAGTCAATATACATCAATGCTATCATTAGTTAGACGTTGTTTGAGTCGGTGGTTGGTCCTGCACTTACAGCAGGATGGTTCTTTTTCTCGCTGTTTTATGCTCGTTCCTAATCTTTATAATCGTGTATTCCATGCAGTACTTCACGAATTTTAAGAATCGTTTAAAGTAGTATCAACCTGCTTTGGTATAGATAAAATTGAAATCGATTACACAAACTGCAACAATTGATACATTCTAGATTGAGTTGCCTGCTCCAGGAAAAAGCCTTATTGTTCATTTACCGCCCTCTGATCCTCATCTACCTCTGGCCAACACTATTCTACAAAACCCAGCGCCGCCCATTGAGCTGCCCCATCTGGACTACTACTTAAGGCTCATGTTCACATGGCTGGGGGTGGACATTGTTGTGCAACTATTCACTTGTTTGCTGCTGGAAAATCAAATAATCCTCAGGAGTTCAGGTACGATTTTCAAAATCATCAGTTAAACTTAAAGAACAAAAACCTGCTATTTAGATCCCCAAAAGCTAATGGTGGTCGCTGAAGGTATGACGGCGCTTTTATTCCCGTTCTCCTGGCCTCATGTTTACGTGCCAATTTTACCCGCCGAGTTGCACCATTTCTTGGACGCACCAGTGCCGTTTTTAATGGGTAAGCGCCCTCATCAGCAGCTCGTTTAGACCCCCGACCATCATGGAATTTCAGGCTTGTATGCTTCGTCGGAGAACATTAAAGTCGCATCCGAAGCTACGCTGTGTTACGTAGACATCGACAAGTGCAAAGTGCAGCTGCCGGAAGAATTGCCCATATTTCCCCACTTGGAAACGTTTGTGGCGGAAATCTGGTCCCTTCTAGATAAGTACGGGGTTCATGTGCCAAACTCAGAAAGCATCAGAAACATTTGGGTAACAACCGCTTTTTTTGACCGATGGTCTGGGTTTTACAATAAATAATTCTAGGATACTCCCCCGAGAAGCTGCACCTTACCAGGTAGACCTCAAAGCCAAAGAAAACTCTCCATACATAATGCCCTAGACTGTGATAGACCGCCCTCGCCTCCAGGCTCTGCCCGCTCTGAGGCCCTGCAGAGAATAGCCGACATTGTGAGGCGAACTGGGGTGGCTCTGGATAAAAACGAGGCTCAACAACCCTCGGATTCCTACCTGGACGATATGAGATTCAATAACGCCGTCAGGGAAACTTTCCTCAATCGATTTGTACATATCTTCCAGTCCTATGAAAATTTTGTGATATTTCCAACTAACCATGTGAGTAAATGGCTACCAAGAAACTCTTCTAACGGGACTAAATGTGGTCTATTTTCAGAACAAGGAAGATTGGTTCAACAACCGCGACGAAATGCAAAACTTCGACAAGGCCTCCTTTCTCTCCGACCAACCGGAGCACGATCGGCTTTTTCTGTGGCGCTTTTTGGAGTCCCAGATGTTTGCAACGTTGATCGACACTAAAATACTCTCCCAGTGGGGCGAACGCGACAACAACCTCTTGATATTCGACAACAGAATAAAGCTCCTGAAACAGCGCTATGGAGGCGAAAACCTGCTAAGATCCATCGCTTATGAACCGTGTACAATCGTTCACGAAACTCAGAAGCTCCTGGAGCGTCGGCTGCAGAATCCTGAGTTTGAATCGCCGGCCCCCAGAGAAGTTTTGAACTCTAAACCGACCGTGAGCAGGAAATTCCCGCTGCTGAACGCGGATGTTTTAAACAAAACCCCTGTAGTGAGCAAAGGAAGCATTCCAAGAGCCCGGGAATTGCGGAAAGGTTACACCTTCGGGAAGCCTCCAATTCCTTCCAATGAAAAGACAGCAAAATCACAGAACAATCAAGACATGTCGCCAGCGCTTCTAGCGCAAGCTAACTGGACTTTTGTGGAGAAACTACTAGGGGTGAGTACCCCCAAATGTGTGCATTTCACGCAAATTAAACCAGATAAATTAAATATCGTAGGACTGTAAAGCTAAAACAAAGCGAATGCTACTTGCCAAACTCGGAGCTGAAGGTGTGACCCTCTCAAGTAATCCTTCTTCTGATAGTTTCGGAGCAGTGGAGGAAAACACTTTGGTAGCGGCGCTATGCGATTTTCTTGAGCGTGTTTGGTCGCATGGGTTGCAGCGCAAACGAGGCAAATCCGCTTTGTGGACACATTTGCTGGCTTACCAGGAAAAGTATCAGGATTTAAACAAGAAGGATAATAATTACTTGAATGCTGGTGAGCACTAGACCTAGATGTTTTGATTGGGTGTTTGGTTGTAATTTTAAGTAACATTGTAGATGTATCCCGTTTGACCACGAGCTTGGAAAGTTGGCAAAGCCCAGGCAACAAAGGCGAGCTTCCAGATTTGCCTACCACCATTTTTTTCGATATAGCCAAAGTGCTGGCAATGCTGGACGTGAAGACTGGCATAGGATTTGCTAGGGCTTGGGTGCGTTTAGCGCTAGAGAAGAAGCTGCTTTCCAGACATTTGCGCACCCTCCTCTTAGATCTCAGCCTTTTAAAAGAGCTGTACAAGCGATCGGCGTTTGTGCGCTGCGAAGAGGAAAAGGAGCAGTTTCTCTATCATCTGCTGTCGCTCAACGCAGTGGATTATTTCTGCTTTACCAGCACCTACCCAACGACTGTGATACCCTATTCGATTGTAATAGTGCCCAACAAAAAGGGGGCGTATACATCTGCCAACGTTTGGGTGGTTCTCTCTGGGACTTTATCAGAAACCCAGAGAATCGCCGTGCCCAAGAACACCTACAGCTTCGAGTGCAAAAATAGGAACCTGGGGGTTTTGACCACTTTGAGGATTGGTCACGATAATTCTGGCCTGTATTCGAAATGGATGGTGGATTACATTTTAGTGCGGAATGATGTGACTGGTCATACGTATAGGTGAGTAATTTACAGGGGAAAGTGTGAAGTGTTTCATGAGCTGGTATCTGCAGATTTACATGCGGGAGATGGCTGGGGCGCGGCATTGACGACGGCTCAACCGAGCGCCTCTTGGTAGGCACTTTAATGTCTCTGAAAAAGGAGGATGAAGAAACGAAGCAAACGGGCAGTCTGGGCAGGAGTACACCCAGATCCAGATCACCAGCGCCGTCGCCCAGACCCGAGATGAAACCTTCAGAGCTGCAGTACATGTTGGGTTAGTACAGTTTGAACAGTTAAGTACAGCGCAATACAGTTTTTCGACACCGAATTGTACAAAGTAAGTATAAGTGACAGAGGAGTCTTGGTCCTGAGATGGTGTCGGTTCTGTGCCACTGTAACTAAAATTTTCAGCCCAGTTCAGGGTTTTTCTTGATTGTCGCTGTTTCTTTACTAACACCATCAGCCATTTATTAATAAAAAAAAAATGTGAGCTGCAGATAGCAGGGGGAAATGCATTTAGAATCAATTAGCGCCATTTTGCTGTAGTAGTCTGATCAACACACATCTTTATCAATCATGTAGTTTTTATTAGTTTTTTATTATTTGCGTTTTCAGGAGATTGTGTTAACAATATAGTCAAGTGGAGATACACGAGAAGTTCCGAAAGACACACGACTCTAACAGCTTTGCTGTGCAGTGAAGATGGACTGGTCCACTGCCTGGAAAATGTGTTTCTTTTAGGCTTTAAGTCAGCGAGAATGTTTGTAGGCAAAAACTATTTATGGGACTATTTTGGTAAGCTCCATAAAACCCAAAGCTTTTTATCCTATTGGGCGTTTATTTTATTTGTTATGTGTTAGTTCGCGTGAAGGATCAGTTCGAGCAAAATTTGGTCGATGAGCTTTCAGGCAACAGAACGGCAAGCTTGGAAAGGAACCACCAGGAAACGGTGGCGGTTTGGAGATGCTACTGTCATCTCATTGATGAAATCCGACATACCAGCAAAAATCTTGGAAAGGATGGAAAATTCCAGTTGTTTATTTGTTTGGGCGTTAGGTATATATTAGTTATTTGTGTGGTTTTTTTGAGAAAACCCCCATTTTTTCTCCTAGGGAGCATTTACTACATAGAATGTTGACGCCGATGTCCGTGTGCAAAGTGACTCAGGAAATGTACGAAGAGAACTCCTTTTTGCGAAAGAGGGGGCTTCTCACGTTTTTGACTCAAATTTTAAAACCCCTGGATGAATTGGACGTCGTTTTAGAAAACTCAGTGACCCACGGTATAAGTTCTCCTTCTCCTCATGTGTAAGGGTAAATGTAAAGAATCACCGTTCTTCTCTTTGTTCGAGGTGTTTTGTGTGAAATTAGATCTCGATAAATCGTCGTTAATGGAAGTTGCTCCAGATTAAAGTTATCATTTGTAAATGCAGAAAATCGGTATTAATCTGGAGCCATGACTTTGAAGATTTTATAGAAATTTCTAGATGTTACATTGTGATGAGTTTGCCCTGTAGATACTCTATCTAGTCTCCTTGTCGAAAATTCTGATATTATTAAGTTAGGGATATAAAATGGATATTTTTTTTAATTCTATGTATGTATATTCTGTATATAGGGAGTATATTTCTTTTCATGCCCTTCCGAAGTTGTTTAGGTTGTGTTTTGGTCAAGTTGAACATGGCAGATTTTAGTCGAACATTTGGTAATGGGCAAATGTACCGAAACGTTTTGAGACAAGGTGAGAGTAAACTAATCGAGATCTGTAAGAAACCCAACACGTTGTGATGCTAAAGCTTGCCATGCAATCCCGCATACCATTCAGTAGTACAAATTTCTTTATATTTATTGATTTCCGTTGTTTTGAGATTAGTATGTAATTTAGATCTTGCCAAAGCTTTATTTTTCTTTGAAGTTGATATTGTATTAATTTATTTGTTTTGTTGGGTACCAAGTGATAAAAAGTCAAATTGCTAAGGAAGTTCAACAGTACACAAAATGACTATTAATCTTTGTATCCAACAAGACTTCATTTACAAATTTCCCACAATTACTGTTAATCTGTAGGTGAAAACTTGATATACAATTTGTGCTGTTCCATATATTTGTACTCGTTTAGAGAATAAAAAATTTGAAACTTGTTTTTATGACTTTTGTTAATAAGAATTGTTCAAACGACACCCATGCCAAGAATATTAAACAAGCAAAATAATTTGCTTGTTTTGCTGATGCAAGCAGTGGCGTAACTCTACGGCGCATCGCACTTACCTACCAAAAGGCGGTTTGGCGTAAGGTAGGTTATTCAGTTAGATTAAAACCTACTTCAAAGCGAAAACTGCCATTGGACGAATTGCGTTTAATTATTCTCAGTCGATTAATTTGTTAATTCCAGTGGTGTGCGATGCTGATGTTATTCGAAGAAATGTTTAAGGCCTTTTTCCAAATTTACGCTTTCCAAATTTCTTTTAAGAGTGGGCCTGTCCATACATTTTTGTAAGTAGCACGATAAAATTTACTGTTTCCAAAAACTCCCTTTATGAGATCCAGATGATCCATTTATTAGAATCTAAGTAGATCAATCGACTTCACACTATCACAAACACATAAACAGTGCGTAAATCGAAAAGCATTCAAAAGTTACTTGGTTTAGTTGGYTTCCTCTAAATTGGTGATCATGCAGTGCATCGTGAAACTTCGCAAATACCTGATTTATTGGTCCTTTCATTGAATACTCAAGGTTTGTCGGTTTTCACCGACAAACCTTGAGGGTTTGAGTTTTCCCACTTTTGCCACATTCGATCTCTGATGGACCTAATTGGCATTTTTGAAATGAAAAAAAAAATGTTTGTTTTTTGGGTGAATTTTCTGGTTATTGTATATGTATTTGGTTTGCAACTTAAAACCTTGCTTGAATGAGAAAAAATCACAATTCGAACCAGTTTAAATGTAGAACATTACAATTTTTTGAAAAACCTACTAGGTACGCCCATGGCAAGGCGGCAGCAGTAAAATAAATCAAAAATTCAGTTTTATCGCCCACGCCACTGTGCTTGTTTTAAGCAATGGTGTACTTGACTTTTTTTCCTTTAACTGTGCTATTTTCATGATCAAGTTATCTACAGCAAATTTAGTTACACTTTACATGGCTTGCTTACATAATCGCATGGCGATAGAAAAAAAACAAAGCCTAAGCAAAAAACTGGATAAATTAAGCCAATTAAGGACAAAAAAGTGCAACTAATTTGGAAACCAATTAACTGGTTCCGAATGATTACCTGGCAAAATAAAATCGGTTATTTCCATGTGGCGCCTGGTCGGGATCAATAAAACAATGGTGTAGTAAAAAAGAAAATGCGCCGCCCATGATTCGCACAGCTATTGATTGGTCAGGGTCGGCTTTTATGGCCTCAGAAAGTGCATTAAAATTTTTGAACCTTAATTATTGAATTTTGTGCATTAAAAAAAGCGTTTCATATGCAAATATTGCTTTGAAATAAGAAAATCTCCGATTTTCTTTAACTTTTATATCGACTTGTTGGCTTTCATATAAACTATTTTTATATCTTTTTAACTGTGTTTAACCGAGCTTTATTCAGAACATTTGCATAGATACACAGTGTGAAATGTGAAAAAGTTTTGAAAAAAATATGCTGATCAAAATACCAAGAATGAAGCTATACAATAGCTTAGAATTCTGCCAATTTTTTTCTGATTGCAGGAGAACTGTGGAGTTTGTCGACAGTTAGTTTTACTGGTTTTTGTACTTACTTTACAGTTGAGGATACGATTTCTGTAAACTAATAATCCACTTTGGGAACACTCGAAGCAATCGCCCAAGAGTCCAGCTCTGAAGTAGAAGTATGTAAGAAGACTCCCGTCATGAGAACTAAACGTCAAAAATGTTTTCTTTCAAACAACGCATTTTTTCAGCAAAAACCGCACTAGCGATTGCGAAGTTCTCATGAAACGAAGAAGAATAAATTGCTCTTTTAGAAAAACAGCAATTTGTGGAAAGAAAATTGTAATTTTCAACAATTTTTTGATTTTCTTTACTGTGCAAACCGCGCACAACGTTGACACTTATTGAACCGAATGCCACTCGAATGGTTTTGTCATAGCAACCAGATTTTTACATAAAGATGGCGAATTGGACGTATTTAAATATTTAATGCATGCAAATAAAGCGTAAATATTTTAAAGCGTTTTTAAGACAGATTTAGAAGAATTTTTTAAATAACTCATTTTTTATTTTTTAAGTTTAAAGAAAAGTTTTGATAAAATTGTTAAAATATTTTAGTTGAAAAATATAACATAACAGGAACAAGTAAGTTGGTTGAAAACAAAATGGGCTGAATGGGTCTCTGTTGGGCACATTCAGATTTCTACACAATCTCCAAAATAGAGGTAGACAATTTCAGGGTATTTAACTTTGTTTTAAAAATAATAAATATGTCCCAGGGAGTTTTCGGGCTGGGGAAAAAATTAGTGGGGCATTTTTATAAAATTTGGATTTTCTTTTAGATGGACAATTAACATTTGAGTGCTGTTGCATAGGCGACTAAAAGCCGCCCAAAGGAAATTCTTCACATAGAAATTGTGAACGTTTTTTGCTGATATTTTGCAATTTTTTGAAAATAAATTTCATTATTCGAAAATTCGTTTGATTTACCCGCCAAGCAGCGCACTGTCCAAAAGATGGCGTTTCCTATTGTTAGTTAAATTCTAAAATGGCGTCTGAAAGTTTGGTGAGAAAAGTGCTGCAATAATTTGCTCTTACCCAGTCTGCTATTCACGTGTTTTTGTAAATTCGTTACTCACATTTTACGACTGCATTTCTGAAGTGCGTTTCCAGACAATACGGGGTTTGGGTTTGTGGCATTGTGAGTTTTAAGTGCCTCTGTAGACGGAGAATGGACGTTCTCTGCACATTTTCATGGAGCCATATTAATGAGTTTTAGATTTAATCAACTGTCATTTATATGAGATTCTTTCAAATGAAATGTGAGTATAAGTTCAGTATTTTTTCAATCGTGCCCCTTGCATTTGCCTGTAAAGCTCCATTCGCATTCAATGGATTTTTGCGAATATTTGGGACTTGTTTTCAAGTGGCCACCGTCCCATCGATGTCAGAGGTCATGATTGGGCCGATTTGCGGCCCCAAAGTTTCCCAACATTTTCCCCAATCAGCTTCATACTTTAGCACTGGCCTTTTCTTAAGCTACACATATTTTTCCCTGTTAAAACGCTGCATTTGTGGTTAAGTTGCCCATTTTCCAACACAAAAGAATAAGCCAGTATTGATGTAATAGAAGCGCTCAAGGTTATCAAAAATAATCCGTGCACAAACCCATCATTTTCTGGGTTTTATCCACATCCGATATTAGCCTGTGTAACTCCTGGGGTGTTTGCCTGGACCGATTTCGACACGTCTTACTTACGGGCTACATGCATTTGCATTTGCTCTCGAAAAAACCGGTTTTCGGGGTGTCTGAATTGGAAGATTGTATCGTGCCTTAGATGCCGATACTTGAGAAGCTATGGGATTTTTGGAGGCAAATGTAATAAGGGATAATGTCTCAGATTAGATTAGGTTATGTGGGTGCAAATAGGCGGTGGAAATTTATTATTTGCATGATTTTCACAAATATATTTTATTTGAATTATTATATAAATTTTTTGGTTTTGGCGCTGTTAGCCCAAAGTTACCAAAGCCGTTTTGGCCCACAAAATCACCAGTTTGCAGGCATTTCTGTCCAGCAGTAGCCTTAAGGCTTAAAACGTACCTCTTACGTTTCATAAACAAATTAAACACACACACACGTCAGTTTTGGCATTTCATTCAAAACCATAACAAAGGAACATAACCAATTTTATGGAGTTTTGCAAGGACTATTTTAACGGTTACAGAATGGACTTGACCCGAGCAACTCAGTTTCGTTTAATTTAGCAGTGATTGTTGGAAATTGCAGCAATTAATAGGAGATTTATACATTCTAAAAATTACATACATTTTTTCTCAAATTTCTCAGCACTTTTCGTTTCGTCGACGTTTCGCAAGCACGAGCGCCTTATATCTTCAGAGGCGGTTTGCTTGACGCAAAATCCACCTCTGAAACCACTCGTTATTGCGAAACGCCAGGAATATTTTTTTCCACGACACACAGTGGTCGTTTTAACTATTTCAGGTGGTAATAAATAGGGCCTCCGATATATACTATTTTTAGGTAGTATAATTTATTTAGTTTAAATATGTTTCACGTCTAATACAAAAATTAAAGTTTTATTGCAACATAAAGGTTTTTTGTACAGTATGTTATACATAAAAACGCATATATAGATAGTCCTTTAGACTATACAGGGTGGCCACTTTCTGAATCTTTGTATGGGTAACTTCTACATTTTTAAAGATAGAGAATCCGTTAAATGGGCAAAATTGGGCAGAATTCGATTGTCTATTTATTACCGTTTTCAAAATTTAGGTAATCGACCTGGTTCCTGCAATATCCTGAAAAGACAAGAACTCAACACTTTTAATTATCCGATTAATATTCCGATTCCGATCGCAGATGTATCTGTGATTACAATGAAACCTGCTTCTGGATAGCATTTTTTTTTGCTTGAAGGAGAACGTTGTAACTTGGGTAGATGTTTGCGTCTCGTTGTTTAGCACCTTGTTGCATTAAAATGTAGAATTTTTTTTCCAAGCGTGAATCAATAAATAAAGCAAATGCTTCTTCTGTAGTGTATTTAACTGGCTCCAAAGTTGACGTTGAAATTGCTTTCTTGATTCTGCAGGCGTCCTCTGGATCTGAAATCCCTTTAAGAACGTCAACTTTTCTGTTGAGCACTTTTGCAAAACCGGCATAAGCTTTTGTTTCTTTCGCTTGCTCCCAAGATCCATAAAAAGTTTGGAAGGTCTGCCTCCGGTTGGACCAGGTTTGTTTTGGTCTTCAAAAAAATAATGTTTTTCTCCAGCCAGTCAGAATGTCTCTGTTCGAAAACCTTTCGAGTGCGATTGCAGTTTTTCCACATTTTCGAAACGGAACTAGTAAAACTATTTACCATTTCTTGTACTGAATCACGTTTGCTGTCATCTTTATTATCTTCTTAATGAAGCTTGTTTAAAACATAGATCAAAACAGCAGCATTCTTTTCTTGTAATTAGTTTTCTCCACACCAAACATCAAACATATCGCTTTTCCGAATTGACATCGTTACTAAAAAAAACAAATTCTTCGATATAGGCACTTCTTGGCACATAAATTTTATATCGATTAAAGCTTTAGAAAATGTAATTACGAAAAAAAATGTTTCAAGATAAACATGCGTAAACATCGAAATCTGCAACTTTACCAATTTTTGTTTTTTTTTTCAATAAGTAATTATCAGTAATGCTACTTTCTTTATTTTTTTAAAGGCTTTTATAACTATCAGAAAATAACGATAATACAAGGATGTAAAGTACTTACCCAACTCTTTAATAGAGTAAAATCTGAATTACACAAAACGGATGACAAACACCGCAATAATCAATCGAACTTAGCAAATAAATAGTGACTATTTCAAGTAAGAACACAATTTGAATATTGGTGTCACTTTGGTGGCCAAAAACGTAGTAACATGATACGATAAAATAAAAAAGGACAAGCATTTTATTAGATGGAATGTTATTTTTAAGATAAGGCCAAAAATAATGTTTTTGTTGTTGCTTTTTTTAATGAATTATTTCTTCCTAAATAAAATAAAATGGCCTCTGTGCGACGGCCTGAAAAACTGATATTTTATTAGTCGGTACTATTTCTTATGGCGATTTTGGCTATTATCAAGGAAAAGCTGCTTTAAGCCTGTGCCCCATGCATCCGTTTATACGATGGTACGATGATACGAAAGTGTTTCTATTGGTTGAAGATCTGTCAATTCGTCCTCCGTCGTACGAACTGACAGATCTCCAACCAATAGAAACACCATCGTATAAACGGATGCGTGGTACACAGGCTTAACTCTTCAGCCAAATTCATATTTTTTTCCAAGTCCTTTTAATTTAGCGATTCATTTCCTATTTGTGTGTGAGTTGTTTGTTGTTATGCAAGAACCATATTTCAAACAGTACGAGCCTTAGAAAGCACACCGCTTCCCAGAAATGCCCAAAACGTTGTTTGCCTTTTAAGACTCCATTCCTCATTTTACTTATTAAACTAACTAACAACTTATTAAACAATATCAAATTTTCAAATGGAATGGGTCAAGTGCTCCTAGAAGATCACTTGTTTGAAAATCATGGATCCAGTGGGACCCTGGTATACCTCATATAATAGGATAGCAGCACATGCTGCCGCAGGGGAACACCATTCCTTAGCAGCTGCAGCTGCAGCAGCCGCCGCTGCTGCATCCACTACGACTACAGCAGCCTCAGCTCCTGCCACTGTGCTTCCAGGCGGATTCTTGTCACCACCCGCAGTCGGTTATGAAACTGTTTTCAGCCCCTTGTTTCATGGGGCTGTTGCTGCCAGCGGTGCTAAGCCACACTATGTTGCCCAGGTAGTTTATATTGCACATATTTTTGACACAGTTATCCCATTAAGATACCCTCTACTTTCTAGGTGACGCCGCAACATCGTGCCTTAGCCGCGCAAGCTGCAGCCTCCAAACAGGCTAGTGAAAACGCCGAGTTCCATCCTCAAGCCCAAGTCTTCTTCGAGCAAGGAGCTTCGGCTTGGCAGCAAAACAGCCCGTTCGGAATCCTACCACACGAGAGCGTGGTGCCCACGTCGGCTGGAAAGACAGTGGCATATGAAAGTTTCAATGCTGCTCATTTTGCCGCCGCACAGCAGTCTATTAGCAATCATATAAATTCGCAAATAGCAGCCAACTCGAAGGCGGCGACAAGCAATAGGTCCCAAAGCCCACAGGTGTCCACCGCTACTGTTAAGAGCAATTCGACTCAACCTAATGCAACCGCCTTTTTTCAAGTAAAGTGTACCTAATCATATTTTTCCACCAGGTTGAACTGTGTTGTTTTTAGGTACCAGTTACTCTTCCAGAAAGTGGGAACAGCAAAACGTTCACTTCCACCAACACTTCCAATCTGCAACAGTCATGTATTGTGTCCTCGCCTACCACCACTAAAGAATACCGGGTGCCTCAGGCTCCCAATAGAGCGTTTATCAGGTAGAGCTGGTGTTTAGCGCATTGGGTATGTGTGTCAACTATGAATGCTTCAGCTCGCCGAATCCTCCAAGTCGCCCGATAGACAAGTCGTTTACATCGCCGCCCGCAAAGCAACAGAGCACGCCCCAAATACAAACGAAGGCACAAACGAAAATTTACTCAGAGCTTGGAAACCAGCGCGAGCAACAAAGGTAAACCGAATCCGCTTGATTTTTACTGGCTTTTAATCGCAATGTATAACCTAGTCACACTAATATCCCATATAGAGGCAATGAGGAGGGCCAAAGTCAGTCATCGCCCATCAGTTTTTCCATCATGGATGCGCCGGGACGGTTGAACTATGCGGGTAGCAACGCTTCCGGTAAGCGGCCGCCGCATTTTCAGCACAACTATCGGCACTATCAGCCCCAACAGGCGCAAAATGCCAATTCTGAAGACTTTCAAAGACCCAAAAGTGGCCCTGAATATCAAAACAGGTGAATATATAGTTTGCAACTGTTCTTCAAGTTTCTTACTTGCTGTTACTGTTTCCAAATAAACCACAGTGGGAATAACGACAATAAATTACTCTTTTGATCGATTAATCAATGTGCTTTCTATCCCAGTTCCAATGGTTCAGACTGCAATGTCGTGGTGCCACGGAGACCAAGTCCTCTGCAAGCACATTCGCAGGCATCACCGTTAGGGCATGCTCAGAGTCCTGTTTACCCCATGTATAATAGTCCTATGAACTCCATCTCTTCCCCGCAGCAAAATTCGAATAGTCAACAGGTAAGGAATTTTACGAGTTTGGATTGGTCGGGTCGTTTACTAAATGTGAGTTGTTGCGGCAGGTTGCCCCCCCTTCGCCATTAGATGTTTCAGTGCCTCGTCCGAATTCGCAGACCGGCGGTAACGTTGCTTACCCGTCGGTAATCACCAGAGCTTTAAATACCGACAAGGCCTTTCCTGAGCGCTACGAGCATCCGAATCAAACCAACCAGCCGAATCAGGCTTGTTGGGATGATCGTCAGCAGCAGCGCAAGTTTCAGCCAGGACAGTCAAATACTCAATCAAACTACAATAATTCTAATGCTAGTATAGAGATAGGCGCTAGGCAGCCTGATGGTCAACGACAGCAGTACTTCGACTCTAATAGTGGTCATCAGGTCAGTATTGCAAGACATCTTCTTGTTCTTAGCGTGCCTTATCCGTCGCGGACGTTGGCTATCAACATGGCA